GGCCTGAAGACATAAATAAAAAAGAAGTGACACATTTAACGAGTCTTCACTGCGCCAGAAAAACAAGAATCAGCTCATTTCTTTTTGAGACCTCAGAGTTTATTAGGCCAAGAATACAATTTTTCAGACGAGCTGTCTCAATGTAAAAACATACTTCCTTATTAGTACCCTGCCATGAAAATCTCACAGTTCGTATAGTGTTCTTTTTTTTTTAACCTATGAGCTAGATAACACGATTTCACACACATGTTGCTCGCAGAGAGTTGTCACAATCGGTGTTTCCATTGAAGCGGTCATCCGCAGCTGAAGAAGACTCGGGTCAGGAGGCCATTGGTTTCTTGAAACGGAGGGCCAGCCGTGCGACATGCTCGTGCTGCACAAAAGACAAAACAATCTTTAGCGCCCTACATTTAAAAAGATACGCGAAACGATCTCACGCCAAATATATTTTTTAGGCCAGGCTCGCAGAATTGTGGAATGCCTTTTTCCCCCCTATTATAGTTTGATCGCACACCTCAATTTCAAAATGAACCTTGTCATCTCCTTTCCCGAGGCAGTATTCCATCATTTCGCGGCGGACGCGCTTTAGAGCTCAATTATAGAGTATACACTTTATAGTGAAAGCTTTCTTTGCCGAGCATAGACCTATCAAGAAGCAGTTGGATGAAATATCGGTATTCGACGCGGGTCTTGCTCGCGCTCTGGTGAGCCTTCAAACGACCAGCCGCTCCGCCGAGCGCGCGCCGCACGAGATGAATGAATTAAATTAATCTCGCGCGCATAGCGAACGTTCCTTTTACCCGAGGGAGCGCTTCAGAACAAAAAAGCAAATTGTGGTAGCAAATGATGAAGCGGTGAGCAATATCGAACACGAAAATGACTGCTTTCGTGCGGGAAGTCGCGTCAGTGCCCGTACAGTAATCCATCGACTCGATCCGAGGTAAACTACAGTCGTCGGGTCTTCTACGGAACGCGTGCTCACGTTTGACACCAACATCGCGTCTCGGAAACGAAAATTCAGCCTCGGAGGGCCGAACACAGGTTCGGAAATTAGAATTGGCCGCCATGACCATGCCCACGGTGAAAGCGTCGTAGCTTCGCGAAAGCTTTTATTTCACACGTTCAAAGTGGTGTCCATAGAGTCTAGAAAGAACAAGGAACACATCGGTGCCAGCGGTGATGAGATACGACCAGTATTAATGAAGGGAGATCAACGAGAATGCTTCCCTTAATAAATAGTTCAAAATAAAATTGAGTGCCTCCTGGCGGAGGGCAGACACACTAGCCGAGGCGAGTGGTGTGTCTGCCCTCCACCAGGCAGCGCGATCCACCTTCCCGACGTTTTTGTGGCTAGGTGGCGTAAGCTACCGCCGGATCCAAAGGGCTCAGCCGTATTTATCTATCCATCCATCCGCCGTTACCAAGTTGCGCGCGCACACGCTTCTTAGTAACCCGTGGCAACGGTTACTTTTTTTTCCTTCTCTTTGTTTGTCCCCCCGGTTTCTTTCTTTGGCCCGCTAATTGCTCGTTTGTTCTTTTGTCTTTCTCTTTGTTTCTTTCTCTCTCCTCCTCGCTCATCCTCCTCCGCTTTCCTTTGTTCCGAGAGGCCGGCCCCAGTGTGGTTTCGGTTGTGCTTCGGAGCAGTCGCGTAGTCACCCGTGTCCAGCTCCTGCTTTGTTCTTTGTTCCGAAATCGGTCTTCTTCTTCTTCGGACCCCGAACGTCGCCTCACGGTTCCTGCGTTCGTCAAAGGGCCTCCTTTCGTTCGACACATTGGGGTAAGTGTACGTCCATTATACTATCCTTTAATTCGAGTTTTTTATTCCGATTATTTGCCAAAAGAAAGTGGTTTAGGTTTTTCAGCAAAAAAAGAATAATAATTCCGTTTAAATTCAAAATAATTTGTACGCCTATTGGACAATTTCTTTAGCTTTCGGAAAGTGCTCAAAGTGTCAGTCTATAAATGCGAATAAATAATAGCTCCCCACTGCTGCTCCAGAAACGAAGTATATTTTTTCTGCAACTGTTCTTTCCTCCGTGCGACGTCGTGTGTTGCCGTCCCCACGTCGCTGCAGATATGGCGCTTTCTAAACTGAAACGCGTCGACATTCCTGCTCTTGTTTAAATCATACGCTGCTATAAAAATCCCTCTCTAACTCAATGACTGCTTGGCCGTGAGGGAAAGCGCGCCCTTGAGTATTAATTAGGCGCGTACAGAAGCTTATTTAATCGCAAACTAAGGCGCTAATTGTTCCCTACCTCTCGTCCGAAGCAGGGACTTGTAGCACGAATTGGTGATTTTTTGTGATTTTTTGAAGGAGCAGGGGAGGCACGTTTAGAGCGAAATTCATGCATTGGCCGTGTGGGAAAGCGCGACTTTGAGTATTAATTAGGCGCGTACAGAAGCTTATTTAATCGTAAAATAAGGCGCTAATTGTTCGCTAACTCTCGCCCGAAGCAGGGACTTGTAGCACGAATTGGTGATTTTTTGTGATTTTTTGAAGCAGCAGGGGAGGCACGTTTAGAGCGAAATTCATGCATTGGCCGTGTGGGAAAGCGCGACTTTGAGTATTAATTAGGCGCGTACAGAAGCTTATTTAATCGCAAACTAAGGCGCTAATTGTTCCCTACCTCTCGCCCGAAGCAGGGACTTGTAGCACGAATTGGTGATTTTTTGTGATTTTTTGAAGGAGCAGGGGAGGCACGTTTAGAGCGAAATTCATGCATTGGCCGTGTGGGAAAGCGCGACTTTGAGTATTAATTAGGCGCGTGCAGAAGCTTATTTAATCGTAAAATAAGGCGCTAATTGTTCGCTAACTCTCGCCCGAAGCAGGGACTTGTAGCACGAATTGGTGATTTTTTGAAGCAGCAGGGGAGGCACGTTTAGAGCGAAATTCATGCATTGGCCGTGTGGGAAAGCGCGACTTTGAGTATTAATTAGGCGCGTGCAGAAGCTTATTTAATCGTAAAATAAGGCGCTAATTGTTCGCTAACTCTCGCCCGAAGCAGGGACTTGTAGCACGAATTGGTGATTTTTTGTGATTTTTTGAAGGAGCAGGGGAGGCACGTTTAGAGCGAAATTCATGCATTGCCCGTGTGGGAAAGCGCGACTTTGAGTATTAATTAGGCGCGTGCAGAAGCTTATTTAATCGTAAAATAAGGCGCTAATTGTTCGCTAACTCTCGCCCGAAGCAGGGACTTGTAGCACGAATTGGTGGTTTTTTGTGATTTTTTGAAGCAGCAGGGGAGGCACGTTTAGAGCGAAATTCATGCATTGGCCGTGTGGGAAAGCGCGACTTTGAGTATTAATTAGGCGCGTACAGAAGCTTATTTAATCGTAAAATAAGGCGCTAATTGTTCGCTAACTCTCGCCCGAAGCAGGGACTTGTAGCACGAATTGGTGATTTTTTGTGATTTTTTGAAGCAGCAGGGGAGGCACGTTTAGAGCGAAATTCATGCATTGGCCGTGTGGGAAAGCGCGACTTTGAGTATTAATTATGCGCGTGCAGAAGCTTATTTAATCGTAAAATAAGGCGCTAATTGTTCGCTAACTCTCGCCCGAAGCAGGGACTTGTAGCACGAATTGGTGATTTTTTGTGATTTTTTGAAGCAGCAGGGGAGGCACGTTTAGAGCGAAATTCATGCATTGGCCGTGTGGGAAAGCGCGACTTTGAGTATTAATTAGGCGCGTGCAGAAGCTTATTTAATCGTAAAATAAGGCGCTAATTGTTCGCTAACTCTCGCCCGAAGCAGGGACTTGTAGCGCAAATTGGTGATTTTTTGTGATTTTTTGAAGGAGCAGGGGAGGCACGTTTAGAGCGAAATTCATGCATTGGCCGTGTGGGAAAGCGCGACTTTGAGTATTAATTAGGCGCGTACTGAAGCTTATTTAATCATAAAATAAGGCGCTAATTGTTCGCTAACTCTCGCCCGAAGCAGGGACTTGTAGCACGAATTGGTGATTTTTTGTGATTTTTTGAAGCAGCAGGGGAGGCACGTTTAGAGCGAAATTCATGCATTGGCCGTGTGGGAAAGCGCGACTTTGAGTATTAATTAGGCGCGTGCAGAAGCTTATTTAATCGTAAAATAAGGCGCTAATTGTTCGCTAACTCTCGCCCGAAGCAGGGACTTGTAGCACGAATTGGTGATTTTTTGTGATTTTTTGAAGCAGCAGGGGAGGCACGTTTAGAGCGAAATTCATGCATTGGCCGTGTGGGAAAGCGCGACTTTGAGTATTAATTAGGCGCGTGCAGAAGCTTATTTAATCGTAAAATAAGGCGCTAATTGTTCGCTAACTCTCGCCCGAAGCAGGGACTTGTAGCACGAATTGGTGATTTTTTGTGATTTTTTGAAGGAGCAGGGGAGGCACGTTTAGAGCGAAATTCATGCATTGGCCGTGTGGGAAAGCGCGACTTTGAGTATTAATTAGGCGCGTGCAGAAGCTTATTTAATCGTAAAATAAGGCGCTAATTGTTCGCTAACTCTCGCCCGAAGCAGGGACTTGTAGCACGAATTGGTGATTTTTTGTGATTTTTTGAAGGAGCAGGGGAGGCACGTTTAGAGCGAAATTCATGCATTGGCCGTGTGGGAAAGCGCGACTTTGAGTATTAATTAGGCGCGTGCAGAAGCTTATTTAATCGCAAACTAAGGCTCTTAATGTTCGCTACCTCTCGTCCGAGGCACGCACTTCTAGCACGAATTGGTGATTTTTTAGGATTTTTTGAAGGAACGTTGTCTAACCTGGAAGGCAGATAGTAAACAAACGGGCGCGACGGGATTTCTAGATCGAATTAAACGCACATAGCAGTTATTCATTCGTTGTTCCACGCAAGAAATGCGTGTACATGACGCTGGGAATAAGAGAAATTTTAGAAGCGAATACTTTTTTTTTTAATCAATATTTGTTACGCGAAGAAGAGATTTCGAAGCGCGGCCGAGCGCTTTATAGTCCGGACTCCTATTCAAACCACGAGAGAGAGAGATAGAAGCATTCTCAAATACCTTTCCTTGCATGGTGTCTAGCGGTCCAGATGTTATCCAAAGTCCAGAGTAATCCAAAGTTCACCAGGAAAGTGCACACACACACACACGTTCACGGAAGCGTCCACGTTGAGACGGGGCACGGCCGTTTTGAAATCACCCGAGACTGGGGTAGAAGCATCAAATCGTAGAAGGGACAGAAAATAGACATTTTCTGTCCCTTCTACTATTTCAAGCTTCTTCTCTACCCCAGTCTCGGGCTATTTCAACGTTGTTAACATTCACCAGCTCGCCCGCGCACCCTCTTCTCTTGACTCGCAACGAAGCGCACACACAGACGTGGATTTGGGCGGCCGTTTGTGAAGTTGGGCGACTGAGGTAGGGACTAGCGGCAGAGAGAGGATTTCTGGAATAGAAAAGAAAAGTGTTGTCATTTCAACAAAGGGTACAATAGATATTTTTGTTTTTAGATTCGGTCGGTTTTAATTAAAGAGTTGTAATTCTAGGCTCTAGTTGAAAAAGGTCGACACAGAACGTAATAGCACCCTGGGTACCGTTACGACGTGCGTCGACATTTTTGCGCGGGTTTTGACCGTTAGGGGTTTGGAGAAGGTATCATCATCATGATCCAGGGTTTCGGTTTGGGTTCTGTGTGTTTTCTCACTCCAGGTCACGTGATGTTTTTGTCGGAGCAAGGATGAGTCACCCTCGCCTCAACGGCGCCTGGCTGTTGCTGTGCGTGTTCTGTCTGGGCCCGGGCTCACTTTCAGAAGGAGCCGAGAACGGAAGAAGGTCGGATTACCGTAACTCGAGAAGGTATTTGCTCATTTCCTTGTTCTTTGCCCAAAGTCGTTGTTTGTGTGAGCGCGTGCGTTTTGCGAGGAGATTATGTTGTGCTCGGCGGTTGGTAGATGGAAATGTTGTTCTCGGAGAGATTCTGCACGCTTTTTCGAGTGTCGGCAAAGAAGGCTTTTAATGGGATCTACTATATTGATATAGGCGCACATAGGCGGAGCGGCTGGTCGTTTTTTTGAAGGCTCTTTACCAGAGCGCGAGCAAGAATTACCTATGCGTGTTTGATGCAAGTTCTTTTTTTGATAGGTCCATGCTCGGCAAAGATATAAAGTGTATTTTGAAGCGCGTATTCCATCGCGAAATGATGGAATACCAGTGATGTGATAATTGCGCCAAACTGCACCAAGGGGCTAACCTTGCTACATCCTGCTACATTTCACCGAAATATGGCTAATCTGCGCCAAAGAAGCAATTTTGGTCGCCTTTCAATAACGAAACTAAACTGAGAACCGTAATTGTGTAAGCTAGGTCGCACAAGACGCCACCCGACACAAAGTACCCTGTATCAATCGTCTATTTGGTCTTGCATGATTTTTCCCGACGTCTCGCGTTTCGTGTACTCGTCGTCTCAAAAATCTCGTCTCTAGTGTATCGGATGCCAAACATGCCGTCATGCTGTGAAACAAAACCACGTTTTTGCGCGGCGGGAGTTACTTTTTGAGCTTCGTGCGACGTCGTGTGTTGCCGTCCCCACGTCGCTGCAGATATTTCTAAACTGAAACGCGTCGACATTCTTGTTTAAATCATACGCTGCTATAAAAATCCCTCTCTAACTCAATGACTGCTTGGCCAAGTTTTGATTACTTAGGTTTTCCTGGTGGGCTTTCTTTCGAGGGGGACCCCGGTACGTGAAAAATGTGCCGCGAAAGAAAGTTGGTGAAGAGAAGTGAGCTAAAGCAAAGAAGGCAATGTCTGAACCCGCACAGCGTGCATGGGCGACCGTTGGAGCCGACTTCTTGCACGAATTCTTTTGTTCTTTTCACGCGAAACACGGAATCGAGTTTTTTTCCCCTCATTCCTGCTTGTAGGTTTCACTGACGATGTTTCCCGGATGGGAGACGAAACGTTTGATTAAATTGTTAATCTTGTTGAGTAAAGTCGGAGCAGTTTTTTTTTTATCAAACACGGAATTGGCGGCGGCGCGGAGCTAGGAAGCCGGCCTCTACGAACTCAAACGTTTCATCACTCTCTGACGCACGGAAGAAAAGAAAAAAAGATATGTGTATGGCGTAAGAACGTTCGGTGCATCTTTAATGTAGGGCGCTAAAGATTGTCTTTTTGTGCAGCGCAAGAGCGAGTTGCACGGCTGGCCCTCCGTTTCAAGTGACCTCCTTCAGCTGCGGATGACCTGTGCTTAATCAAGACCGCTTGAATGGCAACTGAGAACTTGCTCCAAGCAAAAAGTGTTTTTATGAAATCGTGTTAGCTCGTGCGAATTCACTGAATAGGAACAAGTGTGCTTTCATCGAGACAGCTCGTCCGGAAACTTGCATTGTCGGCCTAATAAAGTTTGACATCAAGCCTAATAAAACGTGAGGTTAAAACGGAGAAATCTGTTGTTTTGTATTTTGCTTGTGAGGACGAAGCCCCTGCTGTGCACACCTGCGGAAACGAAGTAAGTACCTTATCAGTTTGTTCAGAGATTTGATTTTTTCCCGTGGTAATCGTGAAAAAAAAAAAAGAGCGAGGACATAAATTCTTCTTTCTTATGTTTGAGCTTATTGCAAGACGCTATGAGCGGCGTTCTATTATATCTATACATAGCCTTTGAACTTGTGTTTTTTCTTCTTTCTTTTTGTGATCTCCAGTGTACCAGATTTGTCGGTTTACTGTTATTTTTTTTTGTTCCTTCTCGTCGCACCCTGCTTGGGGATTGGAAATGGCCTGCAGTGTAAATGAATAGAAACCAAATATAAAAAAAGAATTTAAATACTTCCCGACGCCATAGGGTCTTGATCTGCTTACAAATGCATTTAAATACTCTTTTCCCAGAACCATAACAGAATGAAACAGCCTACCTCATCGCAGATTTATATCTGACAATGTTTTGTAGTCGATCGAGCGTTTGTTTCATGTGCAACTCTTTGCATGGTGTTTTAATTTTCCTCTTGCCCACTACTGCCACTCCTCCCAACTTTGTTGTGAGCTATTACATTACAATTTTCCCCTGTTCCGCTCTCCCATTTTACGGATTACCTGGTGTTGCGTTTTTAATATAATATAACAATCTGAGGTTAAACGGACAAAGAGGCCCCTGCTGTGCACACCTGCGGAAACAAAGTAAGTACCTTATCAGTATTATTCAGAAATTTGACTTTTTCCTGTGGTAATCGTGAAAAAAAAAAAATGTGTTTTTTTATGTGTGTGCTCGCCCAAAAGCGAGCACATGCATTCTTTTAACGTTCTCTGTTGCGCTTATTGCAAGACGCTGTCAGCGGCGTTGTATTATCTATACAGCCTTTGAACTTGCGTTTTCTCTTCTTTTTTTGTATCTCTGTACTTTGTATTCAAGTATATCAATCCACAAGTGCTAGCTGGGTCATTTATTTTAACCAGGCGAGTGGGATGTTCCGAGGAACATTCTAGGCGCGTCTCATCGATGTAGCTAATCTAATAAGAAAGTTACGAATAAAAAGTTTACGTGTAAGGCTTCATTCTGTGGTGTTGTGATTTGGCATATGCTCGTATAAAGAAAACTACGATAGTTAGAAGGTTCTAATTCGCAGCGAATGATCGCGCTCTGAATTTAGACGCACTGTTAAATTTTCATCGCTCCAGCTCGTCTAGAACTCGTTATACTCGCGAAAACAGGTTTTTGGGAATCTGCTTGGAGATTAAAAACCCCGACCAAGTTCAATCGTTCACCCGTGAATATTCAAGACCGCTGGAGTGCATTCATCGATTGTGGTCGTGAAAACAACATCATATGAAAGTGTGTGTGCAGTGAAACCGTGTCAGCTCATCTCAAGTTTCGCGAAATAAACGACGTTTGAAAGTTTTCGGATCGAAGCCAGCCATTCGCATTCCTCACTTTAGGCACCGATCCTTTCTTCGATCTCGCTTATTTAATACTCGTCGTATCTCGTCACCGCTAGCACCGATGTGTTCCTTGGTCTTTCTAGACTCTACGGACACCACTTTGAACGTGTGTAATAAAAGGTTTCGCGATGCTACGACGCTCTTGCCGTGGGCATGGTCATGGCGGCCAATTGTACTTTCCGAACATGTGTTCGGACCTCCGAGACTGAATTTTCGTTTCCGAGCCGCGATGTTGGTGTCAAACGTGAGCACGCGTTCCGTAGAAGACCCGACGACTGTAGTTTGCCTCGGATCGAGTCGATAGTTTAATCTACGAGCACTGATGCGACTTCCCGCACGAAAGCAGTCATTTTCAGGTTCGATATTGCTCACCGCTTCACCATTTGCTACCACAATTTGCTTTTTTGTTCTGAAGCGCTCCCTCGGGTAAAAGGAACGTTCGCTATGCGCGCGAGATTATTTTAATTCATTCATCTCGTGCGGCGCGCGCTCGGCGGAGCCGCTAGTCGTTTGAAGGCTCACCAGAGCGCGAGCAAGACTTCAAAGAGCTGCCGCTCGCTCGTAATTAGAAAACCATTATAGGTACGTACAACTATCAAATTGTTGGGGAAGGGACAAATACACATATGTGCTGCAAGAGGGCCTCCACACAACCCTACAGAGCTTTTTGCAGACATGCCCCTACAGTACAACTGGCCCGACACTTTCTATTTTGTCCCCTTCTGCACTTTCTGGCGCAAGATGAGCTAAAGTGAAGCACGAGTAACCTTCTAGGTTGCTATCTGTTCAGTTTGAACCCTCAAGCTACGTCCCTTTTCCCTTGACGGACAAAATTTGAACGCAGGCATGGTTACTGCGGAATACAAAAAGTCTGCCTTTTGTCTCCGAGGGACGTTCCTTCTGTGTTATGGTCGTCTTTTCCAGAGACGGTGAGGACAAATACACATCTGTGCTGCAAGAGGGCCTCCACACAACCCTACGGAGCTTTTTGTAGACATGCCCCTACAGTACAACTGGCCCCGCACTTTCTATTTTGTCCCCTTCTGCACTTTCTGGCGCAAGATGAGCTAAACTGAAGCACGAGTAACCTTCTAGCTTGCTACCTGTTCAGTTTGAACCCTCAAGCTACGTCCCTTTTCCCTTGACGGCCAAAATTTGAACGCAGGCGTTGTTTCTGTCTGAAAGCAAAAGTCTGCCATTTGTCTCCGAGGGACGTCCAGTCTGCGTTACGGTGGTCACTTTGCACAGCCAGGTTAACGCTGTCCGCAGTCGTGCTGGGACGTCCTTGCTGCGGCTTGGCCGACACATTTGTTTTCTCGGCTTCCGTACTTTCCCACGTCGGCTTGTTTCAGGTCCAGCTACAGCATTCTTGTCGAATGGTACCTGTGAATTCTGAAGGCTTGATGTCGACCTGTATTCTCTGCACAGCCCCCTACGGGGTTCTGCAGAAAGCCCTGTCTTAGTAAATCACGTAGGTTTTCAATGAAGTGTGTCTCCACATCTTACGGGGGTGGGCAAGCAACACCGAGGACACAGTCTTCTTGTCTGCAGTGCCTCTTTTTTCTCAGACACTACAAAACCCCACGCCCTTGTTTCGTTTCTTTCTTAGAAACTCGTTTCTTTCTTAGAAATGCATAATGTTCTAAACCCCAACCAACATGGTTTCCGCAGGGGCCTGTCAACGGTAACCCAGTTGATTGAATTTTACCATGAATTAGCCACTTACGTTAACAACCGTACGCAGGTTGATGCAGTTTTCATCGACCTGTCGAAGGCATTCGACCGGGTACCTCACCGCAGACTGATTAAGACATTAATAGATCTCGGAGTTCCCTTTTCTTTGACTAAGTGGATCAATGCATATCTTTCAAACCGTCAACAATTTGTGGATATAAATGGTACTTACTCAGGGCTGTTAGATGTTCATTCTGGGGTGCCCCAAGGTTCTGTCTTAGGGCCCCTACTTTTTTTAACTTACGTTAACAGTTTGTTCCCATCCAATGAAGATGTCCCAATTAAGCTAAGAATGTTTGCCGACGACTGCGTCATTTGCAGTCCCGTTGTTGAAATACAAGACCAGATAAAAGTGAGTAAAGCACTGGCTAACATTGCGTCTTGGTGTCGTGAAAATAACATGAAGATTAATATTAGCAAAACTCAGTACATGCACATAACAACAAAAAGAACTGTCTTAAACTTTAGCTATGAGGTTGCTGGCGTAGTATTGACTGAAGTGGATAGTTACAAATATTTAGGAGTGATTTTGTCTTCTGACCTCGGGTGGAAAAGGCATGTGGAGTATGTTAAAAAGCGGGCAACTAACAAATTGTGGTACCTGAAGAGAACGCTGGGTAAAACTCCCCCTTCCGTTAAAATTCTTGCGTATAAGACAATTACTAGACCTGTGTTAGAATACGCGTCTGCAGTGTGGAGCCCATGGCAGAGCTCTCTGGTCAGAGAACTCGAAGATATTCAGTCGCTAGCTGTGCGTATAGTTTTTTCAGATTTCAGACGAACTACGTCTGTGACCGAACTTAAAAGGAGAGCCAATATAAGCCCTCTGTCAAACAGAAGAGAGAGCCAACGGTTGAAGCTGTTCTTTCAGATTTTCAATAAAAATTGATGGCTCCGTTTACTTAAAACCAAAAAGTTTTTACTCGGAACGCTTGCATCACTCAAAGACCGTAGCCCCTATTAAAGCTCGAATAAATAGCTATAAACAATCTTTTTTTGTGCATACAATTGATTTGTGGAACAGCCTTCCCGGGGATGTTGTCGATATTGATTCACTCTGTTCTTTCGAAAAAGCCGTAGATAATATTTTTCAGTGCCGAGATTGCTTTTATTGCTCTTATGAAATTATTTTACTGTCTTTATTTTTTATTACTGCTGTTACATTTACTGCTATACTGTTATTGTTATTACTAGTATTACATTTGGTTACTGTATTGTTTCTCTTCTTTGACTAAGTGATATTAATTTTCGGTGCTAAGATTGCTTTTTGTTTAGAACTGTTGTGTTTATAATGTGCATGTGTGACACTGTATCACCCCACTCCTGCCTTGGCCCTATATTGGGCTGGCAGTATTGATAAATATTAAAAAAAAAAAAAAAAACATGCCAAAATTAATGTGCTTTTCTGGTTCAATTATGAAATAATCGCAATAGAACCATTTGTATTTACTGTGCAGGCCGTTTCTTTAATGCAACTTCTCAATTACCTAAAAGAAATGGTAATCTGAAGAGTCATCTTTTTTCACTAAAAAAAAACAACAAAAAAAAACAGAAAAAACACCAGAAATGAGCCGAGTTCTCCGAGCGGTTTTATTAGGTCGATAAAACAACTTTTGCGTTTGCTATCTCGAAGAAATT